TGGGTGCACTTCGGCATGGTTGAAACGATGACATCTCTCGGATAGGATCTGAACTCTCAGATCAGACAGCATGTCAAGGATTTGGGAATGATGATGTCTGACGACCTAACGTTTAGGGAGCATAACCAAGCAAGTATTGCGTCAGCCAGAAAAATGATAGGATGGATTACGAGAACCTTCAAGTCCAGAGATCCCATCACAGTGGTTGTACTCTTCAAATCACTTGTGTTGTCCCGTCTTGCTCAGTGCTCACTTCCCCCTTCAGAGCAGGAGAGATTGCTGAAATAGAGGGAATACAGAGAACATATATGGCATGCATAGACGCGATAAAGCACCTAAATTATTGGGATTGTCTCAAAGCTCTCCAAATATACTCTCTAGAAAGGAGGCGAGAGAGATACCAAATAATATACACATGGAAAATACTTGAGGGACAGGTCCCAAATCTGCACAGTAAAATAACAACGTACTGGAGTGAACGATATGGAAGAAAATGCAGAATAGAACCAGCGAAGAGCAGAGGTGCCATACGCACAATCAGAGAACACTGTATAAACATCAGAGGTTCGCGGTTGTTCAACGTCCTACCAGCGAGCATCAGAAATATTGCCGGAACAACTGTGGACATCTTCGAGAGAAAACTAGATTGTTTTCTTCGAGGAGTGCCGGACCAACCGGGCTGTGATGGGTATGTGGGCCTGCGGGCTGCTCCAAGCAACAGCCTGGTGGACCAAACTCTCACAAGTCAAGCCTGGCCTCGGGCCGGGCTTGGGGAGTAGAAGAACTCCCAGAACCCCTTCAAGCAGATATAGGTTTCCTATCTGTTCCCAGTCCTGAAACGGGACTGTGCGGACCTGTGGTTCATTCTGGACTTGTCCCGTCTGAACCCCTGGGTTCTTTGCCCCCCCCCCCATCCCCTTTTGGATGACCACTCTGTCCCAGGTCCGGCTTCTGTTGGAGCCAGGTGCTTGGATGGGGTCCCTGGACCTCCGGGACGCATATTGGCACATCTCGATTCATCCAGGGACTGTCTCGGTTTTGTTGTGGGGTGTCTTGATTACCGCTTTCATTGTCTCCCATTCAGGTTGAACCTGGCACCTCGCATTTTCATACACCTTACCTGTATCATAGTAGCCCGTCTGCATCTCTTAGGGGTTCGGGTGCTGGCCTATCTCGACGACTGGCTGGTCTGGGCTTCCAGCCAGTCCGCGCGTCTGCTCACCAAGGATATGGTTCTTTCCCAGCTCGCTGGGCTCGGGTTCCTGGTGAATTGGCAGAAGTCCCATCTGGTTCCCTCCTAGGTTTGAAATTGGTTGGGTCTTGTGTCTTCTGCTCTCAGACCGCTTCCTTGTCTCTCCCTCCGAAGTCTCTGCTTCGGCTTCTTGGTTTCGTGCGCGCTCCCTCTCCCTTCCCAGGTGGGAGGGGTGACCTTGCTCCTGCTTCCCCTGCTTCGCCTTACTCCTCTCCCCCTACTTCGCCTTACTCCTCTTCCCCTGCTTCTCCTCACTCCTCTCCCCCCTGCTTCGCCTTACTCCTCTCTCTCTGCTTCCGGCTCCCAAACGTCTGAGGGTTTCGGAGTCGGGGTGGGGTTTAGACTAGGATAAGGCTCAGATAGCTTCAGGGGCTTCCCCTTCTGATTAGAGCATGGAGGTGGTTGAGCTCGAATTTCCCGTGGCGGCTAATGGATTGACCCAGCAGACTCCCTTCTTAGAAGCTGTTCCCCTGGACTCCTGGAATGATGAGTGCTCTGCCTGTGTCGGATTCCTGGGGCTCGGGGGGAATGGGGGTGTTTCTTGGGCTCCTTTTGACCCTGCTTGGACACTTGTGCCCACTGAGCAGAGGTTGTTGCTGCAGGAGATGGGGGTTTTCATACCCACCTTCCCTTTATGAATTTGAGTTAAGTGTGGCTACCCCCGGGCTCGTTTCCGGGTGCCTTTTGGTTCCTCGTATTTGTCTTTCCAGAGGTTACCTTCCTCTCGGACCTCCCCTGGGGAGGTTCGGGAGGCCCTTGTTGCATACCTCCTGAGAGACCCAGTTTATGAATCTGTGATGGATCTGGCTTCATTTAAGTTTGATTTTTCTTCCTCTTATTGGGTGCGTTATGAGGTTCCGGAGTCTTCCTTGCTTAGCGGACTGCCCCCTCTTCCCTCTTGGGACTTGGCGAGGCTTTAGTCATACCCGCAAGATTGAGTGGCGGGATGTTTCTTCGGTGTTGCAGGCATTCTTGTGGGGTCAGGGGGGGGGGCTCGCTTGAGGTCCTCAATGAGTGTTTCTTCACCCCCTGCGCTTCCTCGTGATGTGAATCTGGTGCAGTTACATGCTCAGGTTCCCACTCTTTCGGCTGCCCTGGCGACTGATGACCTTTGAACTTGTGGTCATTTGGCCTTGGTCTTCTGCGGTCTTCTGCAGCTGTCTTCAGATTGGCTTTCAGAGGATGTGGGGGTGTTGAGTGAGGGGCCTTCGGCTGGGGTTCCTGGTGGAACGGGCGACCGTGCCTTAATTTAACAGTGCCTCTTACGTAGTGACGATCGCGCTTGAATTCTTTGTAAAATATTTCGGTGTTTTTCAGCTTTTTTGTTTCTAAACATAAAAGTAATTATATACCATGCCATGGGTCCCAAGAAAGTCAGTTCAACCTAAGAAAACACATGAGGATGACCATAGAGGAAAAACAAGTCTATGGTAAGGTTCTTAGGAAGACAAACAAGCAGTGAGCCACAACCAGGTTCTAGTGGTATGTAGGCAAAATGTAGGAGAGTGTGTACCCCCAGAGAAGGCCTCACTGCCTGATGTTATAATGAAAGTGGACTCCCCTTCCCAACACTAACACCTCTCCTCCTTTCCCCCTCCTCACCGTCTTCCATACGCTAACAAGAGTCATCGATAAAGATAAGCTATGACTTGTACATACTATAATACAAAATATTTGTATGTATTATGTATGAAATGTATTTTGAAGTTAATATTTTTGGGAGTGTTGAATGGATTAATTCAATTTATATTATTTCTTATGGGAAAATTCGTTTCGGGTTATGAGCCGTCTCTGGGAATGGATTAAATTCGTAAACTAAGGTACCATTGTATGACGTATTTTAAATGTAAAGTGTTCATAGGCTATTGCTTCCTGTGCCTCTCTGAGGAGGCCAGGTTCTGGCTCATGGTCCCTGATATGCAAAAAGACTCTGTGACTGATGACCCCCAACTAATATCATCATATAAATCATATCGTCATATAGTGATATATAGCACTGTATCAGTTCAGATAGATTCAGGGAACCTCCGGGGCTCACCCAGAAACTGGCATTTTACTGTATTACAATCAACACTGGGTTTTTTCAGACTCTATTAAGTGAATGGTACCAAATTCTACTATCTAAGTGCCTTTTACATCAATGTTTGTACTATGGTTAACCTGGTTGATACCTGGTTGATGGGGTTCTGGGAGTTCTTCTACTCCCCAAGCCCGGCCCGAGGCCAGGCTCAACTTGTGAGAGTCTGGTCCACCAGGCTGTTGCTTGGAGCGGCCCTCAGGGCCACAAACCCACCACAGCCCGGCTGATCCGGAATTTCTCTTAGAAAACCGTCTAGGTTTCTCTTGAAGATGTCCACGGTTGTTCTGGCAATATTTCTTATAGTCGCTGGGAGGACGTTGAACAACCGCGGACCTCTGATGTTTATACAGTGCTCTCTGATTGTGCCTATCGCACCTCTGCTCTTCACTGTGTAATTACTATATGAGTACTGGAACACTTGATGATATATTGGACTTGTATCCAAGATTGACCATGTAATGTATCATTTATACAATGTATGTATGTGATGTAACTATATAATCTGAGCTTGTAAAAGCACCTTAATCACCTTCAGTGATTAAATGCTTAATTGCACACTAGTTTCTCTGTCAGCTATCTCACCCTGTCAGAGTAAAAAGAGACAAATGTATGTGAATGCATGTGTGTGTATATATGCATGTATATATGTATATGTACGTATATATATGTGTGTATGTATATGTATGTGTATAAAGTACATATGGAAGCTGATCAGAATTGCATTTCACCTTTGTAAATGCACATTAATGATACTTCAAACACTTTATGTAGGGCATACGTAAATCTGTGTATCTATGTATTTACGTATGTAGGTTAGCTTAGCATTTTAAAAGTACCGAATCACCTTCTGTGGTTGATTGTTCAATAAATCCCTGAACTATATGTTTAACTTATCTCTAACCCTGTCCATGGAGGACAGAAGAAAATGAATATATGCTGGTTAGCATTGTAAATGTGTGGCCATGTCTGTGGTAGAAAATAATAAAAAAAAAAAAAAAAACTGGTTCAATCTTGCATTTTCTTCCATATCGTTCACTCCAGTACGTTGTTATTTTACTGTGTAGATTTGGGACCTGACCCTCCAGTATTTTCCATGTGTATATTATTTGGTATCTCTCTCGTCTCCTTTCTAGAGAGTACATTTGGAGAGCTTTGAGACGATCCCAATAATTTAGGTGTTTTATCTCGTCTATGCGTGCCGTATATGTTCTCTGTATTCCCTCTATTTCAGCAACCTCTCCTGCTCTGAATGGGGAAGTGAGTACTGAGCAGTACTCGAGACGGAACAACACAAGTGACTTGAAGAGTACAACCATTGTGATGGGATCCCTGGATTTGAAAGTTCTCGTAATCCATCCGATCATTTTTCTGGCTGACGCAATATTTGCTTGGTTATGCTCCCTAAACATTAGATTGTCGGACATCATTATTCCCAAATCCTTGACATGCTGTTTTTTCACTATGGGAAGATTCGATTGTGTTTTGTACCCTGTATTATGTTTCAGATCCTCATTTTTGCCGTACCTGAGTACCTGAAATTTATCACTGTTAAACATCATGTTATTTTCTGCTGGTATATGGTATATGTAGTTACAAAAAGTACTATCTAAACAGGAGGATGGGTTGATATATTCTATGTATTAATTTATGTTTGTTTATTTTATGCAGGTAATTGAATTAGAGCCTGGAGGAGCAGGTCGATTAGTGACCAATAGTAATAAGCTGCAGTATCTGGATGCACTTGCCCAGTATAGACTCTCTGTGCGGGTCCGGCATGAAGTAGATGCTTTCTTAGCTGGCCTCAATGAGATCATCCCAGATAACCTTCTCTGCATCTTCGATGAAAATGAGTTAGAGGTGAGTTAAGTCATTTTATTTTATGTAATGCTGAATGTATACTTCACAGAATACATTCGTTCTTGTTTGTTCTCCATCGCACTTGCTTAAAAGGTATGCCAGTTTTGGCACTTTTATTGTGGCATGAGATGGCATAACACAGGGGTTGGCATGCCAACCATTTCTGTCCCGCCCGGTATTTGAACCTGGAATTATCGATTGGGAGTTGGGAACGAACCTATTTGTACTGCTGGGACCCATTACTGGAAGCAAGATATTCATTTAAGTCTAAGATATGCAAAGAAGTTCCCTGTACAGGTGGTCGGCAGTTGGAATGCATTGAAGGAAAAGCTTGTTAATTTAAAGTCAATTCCATCCATAACCTTAAGAAAAATGTGTAAGGAAAATGTTAATGTTGAGGGAGGTAATTAGCATGTCAGGAATAAAGGGCTAGGAAGCAGGGCATAAGGAGCTAGCTCTCACTTCCCTGTAGTTACTGATGGGTAAGCTCTGTAGGATAGCCAGTTGGCACTGTAGTGCAAATTAAGTCCCCAAAAATATAATGTTTTACCACACCCTTGGACTTGGTAATCAAGGCCAACCAGCCAAATATATTAAGGATCAGTGCCTAAAATAAACTTATCTCATAGAAGTCTTGCCTTTGCTAAACTACATTTGTAAAGCATTTATGTAAATCAGTAAATAATTCTTTGTATATTTAAACATTTAACTTTTTATGTATTTTCAATGTTAACAACTTATCATAAGTCGTTTTAATGAGTACCAATGTCATGACTTGAGGGTCTTGGATGAACCAAAATGTCACCACTTCAATTTAATTTCACTTCACATGTGTGGGTAGGGTTGGTATTAATAGCTTGTGTATACTGTTCATACCTTGTATAGAAATACACTATAATTATTAGATATTCTGTGGTGTCTTTTGTAGCTTCTTATGTGCGGAATAGAAGAATACAGCATTGCCGACTTCAAAGCAAATCACGTTGTTAATGGCTCATCCCCAGAGTTTCGAAGAGTCTTGTATTGGTTCTGGACAGCCGTTTCTAACTTCACTGGTATGTTATTCTCTATATTTAGTTCATAAATGACATAGAAGTTTCATTATTGATAGGATATTGATAAATATAACTTTTTCTGCATTTCTGTTCTATCATATGAACATAATTAAGGCAACACTTGAATTTTGTTCTCTGCAGAAGAGGAGATGGCTCGACTCCTTCAGTTTGCCACTGGCTGTTCCCGACTTCCCCCAGGTGGTTTTGCCCAGCTCTCACCACATTTCCAAATCTCTGCAGCTCATACATTTGGTGTCTTGCCAACAGCTCACACGTGGTAAGTTACACGAGCCAATCAAGTTTTTAACTCTTCCGTCTTAGTTATGTTTAAACTTAACAATTGAAAAACTTCTGGTAAAATTTAAATGTTTATACAATGACTTTCAAATAATAGTTTAATTTCATTACAATCTAGCCTGTACTCTCAAGTTACAGCTCAATAAAAAGTTCAACTGTTCTGCCTAGCCAGAAATGTATGAATTTGAGCAACTTAGACGCATCACACCATTGTGATTTCTGTATCAAATAAACAAAGTTCATTTGATGCATCACGCTATTGTGATAATGATGATGTGTGTAATGAAGTAAGGGCGAAGAGGTAGAATAGCGTATTGACAGAGCTCGGGTGCATGAGGGAATTGTGCAAAACCGTGGTTTGTGTCTCGAAGAGACTACAGGATCTGTGAGAAATCAGTTGAACTCCTGGTTGCAATTCTTTTACCATGTTGTAGCACAGTCGATTAAGGCACGTCTGGGATCCTCTCGGACGTAGGTTCGAGCCCTCTACACGGTCCATTGTGGATTTGAGCAACTTAGTATTATGGTACAGTACTTTTAACACTTTTGCTGGGGCTAACGCTATTTTCGTCCTAAACTCAGTACACGTAGTTCGGGGGGGGATGACAATGCCATCCAAAATTAAAATATTTGTAAAAATTCCATTTATTGTCCAATTATTATTATGGGACTTATTTTAAAATATCATTCAATAAATGCATGATGAAACAAAAATAATTTTTTTTCCACAAAATAATCTTGTAAAATAGAAGTGCGTCCTATGCGAGGGTGGGGTCTTTTACGCCAGCAAATACGGTATATATCTTGCATATATAAATATATATATTGTTATTAAATATGGACAACTATTGCCTCTTTTCATTCACATGGTGTGTATTTTCTGCCGGCAAATGTGGTAGATCAGGGCTTTCTCCAGGTTAGTTTCCAGGTGTCCTAGGGTTCCTCGGATTCGTCTGTTTGGAGGTTTTCTTCCTCTCAGATTTCCCTTGGTGGGTTTGGGAGGCCCTTGGCACATGCCTCCGATGTGTGGAGGCATGTGTTCTCTGCAGAAGGGGTTTTCCAGTTTTGCCTCTTTGTTGGAGTCGGTTTTATTTGGGTTCAGTTCCTCTTACACTGATGGGGGGATTTTGAGGTTCTGGTGCCTGGTTGGCGGCCTACTTTGTTGGCTGGTTGGTGTGGGGTTCCCTCCTGGTCTGTTTGTCTGCTAGCCAGGGTTCTGGTTCTTTTCCTGCTTGATAGATTTAGGATCCTGGGGAGTTGGGGAAAGTCCTAGTTGGTTCCTTCCCAGGTTTGGACTTGGCTGTGCCTTGTCTGAGATTTCTGGACAGCATTCTTGTCTCTCCCTCAGGCAGTGTTGCTTCAGCTGCAGTCCCATCGTTGGCCGTTTCTGAGAAGGTCCCGGGTCACTCGGTGGTTACTCGAGCAGCTGTGCGAGAGTCTGAACTTCGCAGTGATCGTTTACCCCCTGGGTCAGGTTTGGCTGCGGCGTCTGTTCTGGTTCCTTCAGGGCAATCTCTTCCACGGCTCTCACAATCACTGGGTTCATTTCCCGGGGCCCTTGCGTCGGTTGCTGCGTCTCTGGTTTCCTCTAAAGGCTTTTCGGGGTTCGGTGCCTTGGTGCCTTCTGGAGCCCTCACTCGATGTGTTCACAGATGCCACATCTTTCAGCTGGGGCTTTGTGACCAGTGCTCACCAGGCTGGTGAACAGGCTCACAGCACGGTGTGTGAGTTTGCAGCTGTGGCTTTCGTTGCGTCGAATTCGGCTTTCTCGAGGCTTTACAATCTGACTCTCTTAAGGCTTTATGATCTGGCTCCATTTGTACTGTGCTCCGGTGGTCCATTGCCTGAACCGCGGGACGTCTCTGCGGTTCTTGGCTCTTTGAGGCAAGTTGCTTAAAGTGGCTCTTCTGCTGAGTTCTCAGGGTTTAGTTCTCTGTGTGGTTCATATCAGGGGTGTGTCCAACGTCCTGGCGATCAGCCTGTCAGGGTTAATTCCCCTGTCCACAGAATGGACGGTCGATGCCGACTCCTTCAGTTGGCTTCATTTTGCAAGCTTTCTCGTGCAGTTTTCCAGCTCCGTCCTGCTCATCCGCCGCCCGAGCTGTCCTGGTCCTTGGACCGGGCGCTCTCCTTTCTCTCTTCTCCTCAGTTTGTGGTAGCCCCTTTGGTCCATGACAGCCCTCAGAAAGCATTATTTTTTGTTGGCTTTGGTCTCTGGGGGTTGGGTCGGGGATCTTCATGCTCTCCTCCCTGAAGGCTCCATGGGTTATAAATGCTTGGTTGGTCAGGTCAGGGGTACATCACGAGTTGTGCCCGGTTGTGGCTTTACGCCGTTACCTGCACACCTTGGCCTCTGTGTCCGGGGACGCACTGTGGGTTGACCTGGTATCCCTCGTTCCCTGTTCCAGGGCTCAGGTCTCTCAGGTCATCCTCAGGTCATCAAGTCTAGCCAGCCTGTGGTCTTCCCTCGCGCCTATGATGTTCGGAAGTTGGAACATGTCTTGGGCAGACATTCGGGCTTGGGGTTTTGGAGATCGAACAGGGTCCTGGCTGCTGGTTATCTTGTTAATGTGCCAGGCCCTCAGTGGTCTTGTGTCGCCTTGGGTCAGCAGTTGCAGCTATTTATTTTTATGGTGTCCCATATGGTCTTTCTCTCAGTGACAGTATGAAATCTCCTGGCTGTCTTTCCTCCATTTCCTTTCCCTTTGTAGGGTTCCATTAGTGTCTGTTATGATTGTTTTGTCTTCATGGCTTTTTCTTGACCGGTATCTCGTGCTGAATACCGTCACTTCTTATCGTGCTGCGTTAGCAGAGCCGCTCCAGCTTGCGTTCAGGGTGGATGTCACCTCCGCTCCGTTTCGCAAGTTCTCATGTGTGTTTTCATCTCTGGCCTGCTCTTGCGCCGCTGAAGCCTTCTTGGTCTTTGGACCAGGTGCTCTCGTTTCTCTCCTCTCCTCAGTTTGTCGTGGCTCCTTCGGTCTGGGATTGTTTTCTGAAAGCCAAGTTCCTGTTGGCTTTAGCCTCTCAGGGTCGGGTTTGGGAGCTTCATGCTCTTCTCTGGCACAGGAGTTTCTGCTCTTTTGGTCCTGGGGGGCCATTTTGTTCGTTTGCAGCCTTCTCCTTTTTCTGGCGAAGAATTAGACGGCTGGTTTCCGGAGTTGTCCATGGGTTGTTGATGCTTGGTTGGTTAGGCCGGGTGTGCATCATGTTGTGCATCTGGTTGCGGCTTAACACTACTACCTGCATGCAATTGATTCAGGTACAGTAGGACACACATTGGGTTGCCCTAGTTTCCCTGGTTCCCTGTTCCAGGACTGGTGTGTCTCGGGTTGTCTGCCAGGTTATCAAGTCTTGCTACCCTGCAGTCTACCCTAGTGCCCATGATGTGAGGAAATATGCTGCTTTCGCTGCTGTCTTTGGGAACATGTCTTGGGTTGACATTCGGGCATGGGGGTTTTAGAAATCAAACAGGGTCCTGTCCACCTTGTCAACATTCCGGGTCTTTTGAGGCCTTGTGTTGCTTTGGGACGTCTTTCGCAGCAGTTGTCTCATCTTCGTCATGAGACATGCGGTGCTGTCGCCTCCTGGGTAAGTCCCTCTTTTACTTATCTGTGGGTAGTTAGCTTCAAGGAGCTGACGAGGCTCCCTACAGAAAACCAGCATTAAATGTAATGAAACGTTATTTTCAGGGTGAGTTCCAGTGGCTCCCAGCCACCCTCCCTCCCTCTGGTCAGCTGTTTTTCATCATTCTACAAACTGGTGCGAGAACGGCCGGCTTGTCTAAGCAAACTCCCCCTGTTAGTGGGAAGGGTGGGGGGCCCTAATGAGCGGGCATACTAGTTAGATGCTTATTTGCTTGTTTGTTTTCTTTTGGGGGGAGTTATTTAGCTCTATTCGGATGTAGGTTGCAATTTTTACCAGTAGAGGGCTTGTATTGTTCCACCTACCTTTCACACCCATCAAAACTGTTAACTCCAAAAACTTAGTTATGTCACAAAAATTGAAACATTAACTGACTGTTTTGTTCTAGATGATTGTATACTAAATGGTCAGTGAGCATACAAATACATTTTGTCAGTTTAGTATTGCAGCAACTCATTTGTAATGAATAACAGAATAAATTCTAGTCATGTTGATGAAATTGAACAGTCATACCAGGTTTTCCAGTAAAACCACATACTTCAGCAATAGTATTTTTTACCTTACGAAAAACCTGCTAGAGGTCGAATGCCTTGTGCAACTGTGTGGTGGGTTAGCATTGTCTGTTGTGGGATCCACTGCTTTGCTATCATGTTCGTCAAATTACTGAACCAGTATTCGGCCCTTTTACAAGGGTGATGGATCCTTCACAGAGGACAACAAAGAAATGACTGAAAAACTGAGACTTTAGTACAGTTCTGTTTTCAGTGGACCCCTGAACACAATGAAGATAAATTATCCAAGTGAGTTCTTCATGAATGTGACACCAACATCGACCCATGTATCAGATGTCACCCTAACCCCACGGGACTTTGAAATAGCCATAGAGAACATGCCCATGCTCTCTGCACCAGGCCCAGACTCGTGGTCTTCTATATTCATCAAAACGTGCAAAATACCACTATCATAGGCCCTAAACATCTTTTGGAGACAGAGCCTAGATAATGGTGTCATCCCTGACATGATTAAAACAACAGAGGTCTTGCCACTTCAAGGAGGAGGTAGTAAAGTAGATGCAAAAAATTATAGACCAATATCTCTAACTTCACACACCATAAAAATCTTTGAATGAGTGCAAAGAAGTACGATTACAAATCACATGGAATCATAACATCTACATAACCCCGGGCAACACGAGTTCAGTACAGGGCGCTCCTGCTCCTCTCAATTGCTAGATCACTTCATTGCCTTAGGTGCAATGGAAGACAAGTAAAACACACATCTAATATACACAGACTCTGCAAAAGCTTCCAACAAATTTGACCGCGGTGTTATTGTACACAAAATGCACTCAGAGGTAATTACTGCCAAAGTAGGGAGAAGGATCTTTAACTTCGTAATGAACAGAATGCAGTGTGTAATGGTCAAAACAGTAAAATTCAGATTTACTGCGAAAATCTCGGTCCGCCCCCAAGGTACCGTACTTGCTTCAGTATTTTTTCTCATCCTCGTATGAGACATAGACAAGGATACAAACTATAGTACTTTATCATCATTTGCAGATAACACTAGGATTTTCATGCAAGTAGACAATATAGATGACACGGCAAACCTCCAATCTAATATAAATTGGGTCTTTCAATGTGCCACTGATAATAATATGATGTTAAATGAAAATAAATTCCAGCTCCTGCACTATGGAAGAAACTAAAATATAATAATGGAAACCATATACTGTATAAAATAGTCAAATCACATTATAGAATGAAAAAGTAATGTAAAGGATCTAGGAGTAATCATGTTGGAAGACCTTACCTTTTAAAGAATACAATAAAGTAGCTGTCATGACCAAGAAAAATGACAGGTTGAATAATAAGGACCTTCCAAACAAGGGATGCCATACCAATTATACTTTTCAAAACACTAATGCTCTCTAGGGTAGAATATTGTTGCACACTAACAAACCCAGAGAAATTGGTGACCTAGAGTGTGTGCAAATAGCCTTTACCGCTAGAACCCGCTCTATAAGTCATTTAAATTATTGGGACCGATTAAAATTTCTAAATCTGTATTCTCTAGAGCACAGACATGAGAAATACATAATAATAATCTACTTTTGGAAATTATTAGAAGGATAGGTTCCAAATCTGAACACGAAGATTACATCACATGAAACCAGTCGACATGGCATGTGCAGAATAGCTCCATTGAAAAGCAGAGGTGCAATAGGTATGCTGAGAGAGAATTCAATCGTCAAGGGCCCAAGACTTTTCAACACTCTCCCACTACACATAAGGGACATAATTGGCTGGTCTCTCAGCACTCAAAAGAGAACTTGATAAGCTCCTCCAAAGAATACCTAATCAACCAGACTGTGATTGGACAGCCTGGTTGACTAGACGACCAACCAAGAGACCTGGTCGAAGACCGGGCCATGGGGCCTGTGATCTCTGCATCCTCCACAAAAGTAGATGCAAGGTAGACAAGGTAGCATACTTTCTTCATTTGTTTGAGCATCTTCAGCCTCTTCCTCACTGCTGTCAGAACTATCAGTTCTGAGATTTTTGCTAATGAATTTCTTGATCAAAGAACTTTGGGTTTAAATTTTCCAGCAGAGAAAACCTCTGATGAGGAGTCAAGTTCTTCCTGCTTGTCAATACTGCAACATTTCCTAAGACTTGTCCTTCATTATCTTGATAATCACTTGCATACATTGTGAACTTCTCCAGTATATTATCACTTTATCTGCAATATCACAAATAGTTCTAGTGATCTAGTTTCATATCAGTAGAAAATGATATGGGAGAAATGCTTGGAATCCCAGGAGCAAAACTGGGGGTCTACAGTGTGTTATATTGTGTGTTGTGTCTGGGGGTGAACAGGAAACACTTTGGTCCCCTCATGCCCAGCATGGTAGTCGTGACCTCCACCCATACTTTGTCAGCATATTTTGAAAGATTTGCATTATGTTGACATAAATAGAATGGTTAAGGAAGTGAATATTAGAAATTTTGAGAGTGCATGACATGTTTTAGTACAATCAGACCGATTACTGCAAAACCATTGTAGACACTAAAATGCATCGCTGTAAAGTTAATAAGAAAGATACCTATTGCATTTCATAATCATCATAGTATAATTCCACATTTTTGCATAACATGTGATTTAATAATTAAGGTTTTTTGGTATAAATGTTACTTATGACATTATTTGTTTCTCAGCTTTAACCAGCTGTGTCTACCAGACTACGACAGCTATGAGCAGTTTGAGAAGGCCCTACTTCTTGCCATTAAAGAAGGTTCTGAAGGATTTGGAATGGTATAACTCATACCTCTCAAATTAAGAATACTTTTTTTTTTCTGAATACCAATATTGACATAATATATTGCATATCTCTAAAGAATTTGTTTACACAAAAGTTGAGTTTTCATTAATGATATTGTATGTTATTTTATAGTACCTCAACTATTGAACAATATTTCATTCAGAAATAAAAGCCAGTTAATAAAGTTATACTCTATAGGCCAAGAATGTGCCCTGTTATTAGATAATATACGGTGCTCTATTTTTGGATAATTAAAGTGATTTTTTTTTATTATTATTATTTTCTACCACAGACATGGCCACACATTTACAATGCTAACCAGCATATATACATTTTCTTCTGTCCTCCATGGACAGGGTTAGAGATGTGTTAAACATATAGTTCAGGGGTTTATTGAACAATCAACCACAGAAGGTGATTTAGTGCTTTTAAAATGCTTAGCTAAATTAAAGTGATAAGAGATGAGGTTTACTGATAGGAATTATTGCTTAGAATCTCAAGTTTAAAATATTGTCCGTTTTATAAATAATGTCTTGAGGAGTAAGATATTATGGGTTGTGTGGATACTTACAGTATAGTTAACATCGTGACCGAAGTTATAGCATTACTGTACTTAAATTTTTTTTTAATGTTAAGTACGATCTTTACTTAGGGGTGATTGGTTCAGTTATCTGTGATGTTATCTTACGTATGCAATGTTTAAGATTAATTTAGGACAATTGACTGAACTTGATGAGTACCCCAAGAAGTTGCCATCATTATTAAAACATTTAAGTTAAGAATTTTTGTTTAAGATTATGCTATACTGTACTATTAAGATGTACTTTTACAGAGATTTGTGCTCATTCTTCTTATAAGACATTGAAGATGTGACTTGATGACAAACGTGCTGTTATGTACCAAATACATAGAAGATGGCACAATGAAATCATAGGAATGTGATACAAGTATATCTATAAGAAAATATTAAAGGCTGTAGATGGGGCCCACATTCCCGAACTCCTCGGGCACCTGCAGTACCGACTGGACCATGATGGTATACATTTAAGACCATCATGGTCCAATTGGTAGTGCTTGTGCTTGGGGAGTCCTGGGATTGGGGGGTTACATCCCATTATATAGCTTTAATATTTATTCACATAGATTCATTTATGATGCAAGATATAATACACACACACACTTTAATACAGACAGCCCCGTACTTTATGAATGTCTTTTTTCCGAAAATGACTGGTTTTCCAACTTGAGTTTGTACAGATGAAAAGTTCAAATAACTGGTGGGGCAGTTATTTCTGGATAAAAATGTGCAATAAAGATGGAATTAGTTTGTCTAGTCACTGTACACAATGCCACTTAAGCAGTGTTCATACAATAATGGATGGCTCAGAATCCTTAAACTCTGCCATGGCATTAGGTACATTAGAGTGCTTGATGAAAGGCAGTCTGCTGAGGTTACCACATCACCATTAATCTCCAGTTCAGGCATCCCAACACTATCAGCATCCACCACCACCTTTTCTATATATGGTAAATAACAATGCTCCATCAACTATAATCTTCAAGTTAACAAGCGGATTAAAACTTCTCATATTGGTGAGTACAAACAAAACACTTGTCCAATTTCTGTAACAAAATTATCAATTTCTTTTCCCTAGCTTTTCAGGATGACGAACCATTTATCCGAACACAACAGTTTATCCATTCAGTCTTTGTCCCGAGGGGTTTGGAAAGCACGTGGTTGTCTGTAATAGTACAAAGTAAACAAAAAAGTCAAGTTGTATAATGCAAAACATGAAGTGAAAATAAACAAATAATGAAGGTTGAATATATACAGTTTAAGAAGAAAGATCAATACAAACCACTGGTAACATGTAACAAAAATGACATAAACCTAACACCAATTAGCTTTATACACAGAGAAATCACAATAACGTGATATGTCGATGAACAAATCCACAAGGGCCGTGATGAGGATTTGAACCTATGAGCTGGATGTTCCTAGACGCGCTCTAGTCTGGGAACATCCGACGCATAGGTTCGAATCCGCATCAGGGCCCTTGTGAATTTGTTAATAAGTTATGTGTTGATAAAGGTGAATGGTTGGTGGTATATGCATAGTAAGTTTGTTGCCAGGACGGCTGGACCCACTGTCTTCACAGATGCTTTTGTAACTCATTTTTCTTTTCTATTTCTTGAGCCAAATCATTATTTCCAATCATACATATCAGCACATAATATCCTATTGTGAATTTGTAATGGGGAAAGAAGGTTAAGAATATATGGTCTACAAAGCCTACGTTATTTTTAAATTAGTGAAGCATAGAACAATGACATTTTTAGACATGGATTCAATATTTTTTATTTCCTCTTAAAGCATTAGTACTGAATTATGGAATACAAAATAAAGTTCAATATACTCAGGCATATACTAGATATCAATTTACTGCTAAGTGACAGAGGCATTAGGTGATTGGAAATGTGCTCAACCTTTTTTTGTCCTGCCCAGGATTATCGTTTATATAAAAAGAAAGTTTCTAACTGGTTTATTTGGATTATTATTATTATATTATATTAGGAACATAAATAATTACCTTAGTTATGTTAGGTTAGGTTAGGTTAAGATAGGTTAGATTAGGTAGGGTTGGTTAGGTTCGGTCATTTATCTACGTTAGTTTTAACTCAAATTAAAACAATATTAACTCATACGTAATGAAATGGATAGCTTTATCATTTCATAACAAAAAAATTAGAAAAACATAAATTGAAGAAAACTTGACTTATTAGGCAAATCGAGCCTTGCATAGTAGACCAAGTGCTGCATTCTGGCTACTAGGTACAACATATACAGTGGTACCTTGGTTTAAGAGTTTAATCCGTTCCTGGAGACAGCTTGTGTTCCGAAAACTCGTATTCCGAAGATAATTTCCCCGTAAGAAATAATGGGAAATGAATTAATCCGTTCCTGACTACCCCAAAAACCCCACTTCAAACTAAATTTTATACCTAATTCATCTAAATAAACCTACAAAACTATGTTCAAGTTATTACTTACCTTGCTGTTGGCGTATGGAAGATGGTGAGGAGGAGGGAGGAGAAGAGTTGTTACTGTTTGGAAGGGGAGTCCCCTTCCATTATAACATTAGGCAGTGAGGATTTCACTGGTGTGCACACTTTGGCACGTTTTGCCTGCATACCACTAAGACTTGTTTGTCTTACTAAGAATCTGTCTAAAGACACTTGTTTTTCCCGACATTTTAACACTTGTCTGTAGTAAGACATCACATTGTCATTTAAAAGGTCAATGCAACGGCCTGCTACAGCTTTATCTGGGTGAGTTTTTTCAACAAAACGTTGAAATTCTTCCCATACTTCACACATTTTCTTAACACTTGTGTTATCACGGCGCTCGAGAGCGTTACCACTTTTTGTGTTGAGGTCGCACATCGGACTCACTCAAGAGTCACGAGAAAAAAATATTTCTATAAACTCTATTTGTTATGCGATCGACTTTGGGATAGTTTGAAAATGTTCCCCATGAAATTTCCATTTTCTCTAATAGCTGCATAACCTATTTGGGAGAACGGCATAGCATTGCACCATCGAGGTAAGACCATTGACACGACAAGTGTAATCGACGTAGTTTTTTATTTGGTGCTGGTCTAATGCATCCTTCTGTGACATTTTATACTTATGTTCTTCTTGAACATTCTATTGCGAACACATTAGTACAAAAATGAAATACGTACATCGAAAAATTAATGTCAGGACAGTGAAAATAGTATACACTTTTCAGTGTTGCCACTTGATCGCCCAAAGCGCCGCACTATTTTCTTAGGTTAAACCTTACCACTGGCTTTCTTGGGACCCATGGCGAGATATATAATAACAACTTTTATGGTCAAATGACCAAAAATTCAACAAAACGCTGAAAATCCGGTGAAGAATTGACGTGGGATAGTCACTGGGCGCGAGGCACTGGTAAACTGAGGGATGAGGGGCGACGATCGCCGTACCACCACCTGCTAGGTTGGCCTGTACGCGTATCAACAAACTCGCCTTCCGAGGCACATTTTCGGAGCAAATACTGCTCGTATTCCGAAAAATTCATATTCAGGGACACTCGTATTCCGAGGTACCACTGTAATTACCTAAGTGTGTAATTACCTAAGTGTAGTTACAGGATGAGAGCTACGCTCGTGGTGTCCCGTCTTCCCAGCACTCTGTCATATAACGTTTTGAAACTACTGTACTGACGGTCTTGGCCTCCACCACCTTCTCAAAAAAAAAGACTTGAGCCCGCAACGTTCCCAGCTAGATTCCACAGCTTAAACATCTGCACACTTCCCTCCTCATAAACCTACACATAAACTACACCTACACATAAACACACACACACACACACACACTGTGTGTGTGTTTACTAGTTGTGTTTTTGCGGGGGTTGAGCTTTGCTCTTTCGGCCCGCCTCTCAACTGTCAATCAACTGTTTACTAACTACTTTTTTTTTTTTTTTCCCCACACCACACACACACACACACCCCAGGAAGCAGCCCGTGACAGCTGACTAACTCCCAGGTACCTATTTACTGCTAGGTAACAGGGGCACTTAGGGTGAAAGAAACTTTTGCCCATTTGTTTCTGCCTCGTGCGGGAATCGAACCCGCGCCACAGAATTACGAGTCCTGCGTGCTATCCACCAGGCTACGAGGCCCCATATTCTATACACACATATACACACACACACACATATGTGTGTGTGTGTGTGTATATGTATGTAATATATAATATATAATACAATGGGGCCTCGACTTACGATGCTAATCCGTTCCCAGAGAAGAATTGTAAGTCGAAGCGATTTTTCCCATAAGAAATAAAGGGAATAGAATTAATCCATTCCCCACCCTCCAAAATATTAACATACAAATACATTTTATACTGAATACAATGTTTTTTTCTAACTACAATATAGTACCAAATTTTCTCTTACCTTTATGGAGGGCTCTTGATGGCATATGGAAGATGGTGATGAGGGGGAGAAGGAGAGTTGTTACTGTTTGGAAGGGGAGTCCCCTTCCATTATCACATCAGGCAGCGATGTTTTCTCTGGGTTTTCTTTCCTACGTTTTGCCTGAATACCACTAGGACCTGGTTGTGGTTCAGTGCTTGTTTGTCTCACTACAAATTTGTCAAGAGACATTTGTTTTCCCTTCGTTTTAACATTTGTCTGTAATGATGCATCACAGTGTCATTGAATAGGTTAAGGCAACGACCTACTGCAGCTTGATTTGGGTGAGTCATTTCAGCAAAGGTTTGCAATTCTTCCCATGCTGCACACATTTTCTTAATTGTTGAGGAAGAGACATTCTGTACTCTTGTTTCTGCTCTATGGTCATCTTTACATGGGTTTTCATATATTGAGCCTTAACACTGACTTTCCTGGGACTCATGGCGTGATATATAATAATGACTTTAATGTTCAAAATGCAAAAAATCACCACAAAAGTCGAATTTCTTTTAGGCGCGATCGTCACTAAGCGGGCAGCTGTAGTAAACTGAGGCAGATCGGCTGCGTGACCGGGAACCACGCGCTCGGTCGACCCGAACGTATACCAACAAATATCGGAAGTCGACGACACCATTGGATGTTGATTCGCATTTTTTGATGAAATTTACATCGTAACTCGAAATTATCGTAAGTAGGGTAATCGTATGTCGAGGTGCCACTGTACATACATACATACAGTACATACAGGGGTACCTTGGTTTAAGAATTTAATCCGTTCCTGGAGACGGTTTGTTACCTGAAAATTCGTAAACCGAAGCTAATTTCCCATAAGAAATAATAAGAAAATAAATTAATCCATTCCTGACTCCCCAAAAAACTTCACTCCAAAGTAAATTTTATACCTAATTTACCCAAATCTACACTACAAAAGTATGTTCAAGTTATTATTACCCTTACCCTTGCTGATGACTCCTGTTGGCATATGGAAGATAGTGAGCAGGGGAGGGGGTGGAGAGGTGTTACTGTTTGGAAGGAAAGTCCCCTTCCATTATAACATCAGGCAGTAAAGATTTTTCTGGAGTGCAGTCTCTGGCATGTTTTGCCTGCATACCACTAGGTCCTGGTTGTGACTCGCTGCTTGATTTTCTCACAACGAAACAACCCATTGAAGGTTTTTTTCCCTTCGCAACATTTGTCTATAGTGAGGCATCACATTGTCATTGAAAAGATTAATGCAATGGCCTACTACAGCTTTCTCTGGGTGAGTCGTTTCAATAAAAAGTTTGCATTTCTTCCCACATCTGACACCACTTCCTATTTGTTGAGGAAGGGACATTCTCTTCTGCCTCATCCTCCTCCTCCTCTGGAGATATATCCTCAACTGCCTCTTCTTGCTGCTCTTTTTGAAGGGCTTGGAGTTCTTCGTTGTGTTCTTCCACCAACTCCTCCACATCATCACCATCCAATTCCAAGCTCATTTGCCGGCCCAGAGTAACAATTTCCTCAACAATAGGTGCATCATTTACAGGCTCAAACTCCTCAAAGTCTAGTTCTTTCACACATTCAGGCCACACTTTTCTCCAGCCAGAGATCAGGGTTCTTTGAGTCACTTCTTGCCAGGCTTTGTCAACGAGTTTTAAAGCACTACAAATGTTAAAATGGTGTTTCCAGAACTCTTTGAGAGTGAGGTTTGTGGCTTCAGTCACTTCAAAACATTTCTGGAAAAGTGCTCTTTCATACAGTTTCTTAAAATTTGCTATGATTTACTGGTCCATATGCTGAATTAGAGGAGTGGTGTTAGGAGGAAGGAACTTTATTGTGAGAAATTTACTGTATCTGTGCATCAATTCATCTTCCAATCCTGGAGGATGAGCAGGAGCATTGTCGAAGAGAAGCACGGCCTTGAGTGGCAAATTTTTCTCCTGCAGATATTTTTCTATGGCAGGGCACAGCACTTCATTCACCCACTCCAAAAAAATAAGCCTAGTCACCCATGCTTTTTTATTAGACTTCCACATCACACACAAATGGGTTTTCTGCACTTTATGCTGTTTGAAAACCCTTGGATTTTCAGAATGATACACTAGCAAGGGTTTAATTTTCAAATCGCCACTCGCATTTGAACACAGCACAAGCGTAAACCTATCTTTCATAGGCTTGTGTCCGGGCAAGGATTTTTCCTCCTTGGTAATGTATGTCCTCTTAGGCATTCTTTTCCAGAACAGTCCTGTTTCATCACAATTAAACACTAGTTGAGGTAGGTATCCCTCAGCCTCTGCAAACTCTTTAAAGTCTTCAATAAATCGTTCAGCGGCTGGTTTGTCTGAGCTGGTTGCCTCCTTATGCCTCGCAACACTATGGATACCACTTCTTTTTCTAAATTTTTCAAACCAGCCCCTGCTTGCCTTAAACTCTTTCGTATCTGCATCACTCATTCCAGGGGTTTTCTTTACAAGGTCTTCGTGCAATACCCTGGCTTTCTCACAAATGATGGCCTCCGGAACACTATCACCCCTTAATTCCTTGTTGTGTATCCAAATTAATAACAACTTTTCCACTTCAAGTATTTGTGGTCTTTGTTTCGTGATTGTTCTTACGCCTTTTGCCACTTTAGCACTCATAATCTCATTTTTCTTCTTAAGTATAGTG